GGCAGGCATGTACAGCTAACAATTCTTCCATACAACAAATATAGTTGACCTATTGCTTATAGTTAAAGAAAAACAGACCAAAACACAAAAACTTAACACTGAGCAATGAACTGTGAAAATGAGGTCAAGGTCAAATTAAACCTGCTAGACTGACATATAGATTATAAAATATTTCCATACACCAAATATAGTTGACCTATTGCATATAGTATTAGAAAAAAAGACCAAAACTCAAAATCTTAACTTTGACCACTGAACCATGAAAATGAGGTCAAGGTCAAATGACACCTGCCAGCTAGACATGTACACCTTACAATCATTCCATACACCAAATATAGTAGACCTATTGCATACAGTATAAGAAAAACAGACCAAAACACAAAAACTTAACTATAACCACTGAACCATGAAAATGAGGTCAAGGTCAAATTACACCTGCCAGTTGGACATGTACACCTTACAGTCCTTCAATACACCGAATATACTAGACCTATTGCTGATAGTATCTGAGATATGGACTTGACCACCAAAACTTAACCTTGTTCACTGATCCATGAAATGAGGTCGAGGTCAAGTGAAAACTGTGTGACGGGCATGAGGACCTTGCAAGGTACGCACATATCAAATATAGTTATCCTACTACTTATAATAAGAGAGAATTTAACATTACAAAAAATGTTAACTTTTTTTTCAAGTAGTCACTGAACCATGAAAATGAGGTCAAGGACATTGGACATGTGACTGACGGAAACTTTGTAACATGAGGCATCCATATACAAAGTATGAAGCATCCAGGTCTTCCACCTTTTAAAATATAAAGCTTTTAAGAAGTTAGGTAACGCCGCTGCCGCCGGATCTCTATCCCTATGTCGAGTTTTCTGCGACAAAAGTTGCAGGCTCGACAAAAAAATCAATAACTCTAAAATAAAATTTTGAATCATCACCAAAAAGTATACAGCTCTTTAGATTAATATAATTAAGAAGTGTGTAAAGTTTTAAGCAATAATCATAAATCGTTTTCGAGATACGGCGCGACATGTGAAAAAAACACCCCCTGTTTTAGTTACAAAGTCCCGAACTCAAAAAGTTTTAATCTTATTTTCACCAAAAAGTATACAGATCGTTTGACCATCATAAGAAACAACATTGTTAAGTTTCATGGGATAAGTCGTTATCAAGTTACTGTGCGACATGTGGACGCCGGACAGACAGACAGACGGATGCCAGACATTTGTAAACCATATAATACGTCCCGTCAAAATTTTGACGGGCTTATAAAAAAGAAAAAGACAAACAGACAAAGAACAGTACACAAAACAACATAGAAAACCAGAGACTGAGCAACACAAACTCCACCAAAAACTGGTCCTAACATTTGGAAGAGGCAAACTATAATTAGAGAACCGAAACCAGTATTAAGACGTTCATACGGAAAGACAAGGGTATCACTTAATGCCCCTTCTGCTGCGACAGGGGCATAAATAACTTGACATTTTTTTCAAACAGTCTCTGGAACATGAAAATGAGGTCAAGGACAATTAACATATGACAGACAGAAACTTTGTAACACAAGGCATCTCCATACAAGGAATGAAGCATCCATGTCTGATGTGTCATCTACTTTCAGGATTATAAAGCTTTATACAAATTGTTAACTCTGTCCGCGGCCACCAAATTGTAATCCCTATGTCTTGTATTCTGCCATAGTGAGAGAACAAAAACACTGAAACTAAATGATTATGAAATGGAATAAATCTTTATTTCTGGGTAGAACAACAAAGATTTTCGTGTGTTTGTATAACAATCCAGAACCATAGTTATATGATAATATATATATAATAAAACTAGAGGCTCTCAAGAGCCTGTGTCACTCTCCTGACTCTACTTTGGTTTTGGAAATCATGTAAAAATAGATAAAAATCATAACAGATACCCAAATAATGATTGAGGCCAAATTTGGTTAAATTTTGGCCCCGTAATTTAATAAGAAATCATGGTGGCCATCTTGAACAGTAAATCAGCAACAAGGGCAACACTTCATCAGCACCTCATAATGAACACTTATGCCATGTTTGGTGTCATTCCATTCAGTGGTTCTCTAAAAGAAGACATTTGAATGTATTGTCCATAGGGTCCTATGTTAAATGAAGTCCCCCACTGGTGGCCATCTTGGATGATGGATCGGCTTCAAAGTAACAACACTTGGTCAGCACCTCATAAGGAACATTCATGCCATGTTTGGTTTCATTCCATTTAGTGGTTCTCTAAAAGAAGACATTTGTATGTATTTCCCATAGGGTCCTATGTTAAATTAAGTCCCCCGCTGGCAGCAAACTTGGATGATGGATCGGCTTCAAAGTAACAACACTTGGTCAGCACCTCATAAGGAACATTCATGCCATGTTTGGTTTCATTCCATTCAGTGGTTCTCTAAAAGAAGACATTTGTATGTATTTCCCATAGGGTCCTATGTTAAACCAAGTCCCCCACTGGCAGCCATCTTGGATGATGGATCGGCTTCAAAGTAACAACACTTGGTCAGCACCTCATAAGGAACATTCGTGCTATGTTTGGTTCCATTCCATTCAGTGGTTCTCTAGAAGAAGTTCAAAATGTAAAAAGTTAACAACGACGACGACGGAAAACGGACGCCAAGTGATGAGAATAGCTCACTTGGCCCTTCGGGCCAGGTGAGCTAAAAACATAGGATATGGGGTATTAATCCATGACACAAAATCTGTAAAACGGTTCCTGAGTAATAATGAGTTTCAGGCTAACACATGGACACAGGAGGGTTGAGCACTCACAAACAAGTCTCTTTGTAGATGGCAGAGAAGGTGGCATATAATTGCTTACATCTACATCATTTTAACTCTGGTGGATAGTTGTCTCATTGGCAATCATAACACATCTTATTTTTATATAAAAAAATTGATGGAAGGACATATAGGGACAGAAACTATTATCAACTTCGGAAGTGCAAGCTTGGAAAGGGACAATAATTATATAGACCTTGATATATACCATTTCTCTCTAAAACAGGTGACCAACGGCTTAACTAACAAAGAAGACTTAAGGTCTGTTGGACCTCAATATTATTTTCTTTCATTAAAAAATCAAAGCCTTTATTTTAATTTAAATGATTTAATTATCATTTTAAAGTACATAAAATTACATTTGAGAAAATTTCAACAACAAAACAATCTATACATAATAAATATTCACTATGAACAAAATATTCCTCTCAGTAGTAAAGCTTGTATATCAAAACATGCACATCCCAACTAATCATCAAGCTTATATATTAAGTGAGTTACAATTATATCAACATAATACATATACAGTGATTGAACAGATAAGAATCATCTCTGTATGGAATACAAGTGTTATCTTAAACAAGAATGCATGAAATGTCTCACCTGCTTAACTAACCATGATTGATTTTATGTTGATAGTCCTAAAGATAAAGTTTTACTACAAGTATCAAATAAACTTATCACTATCAAAAATCCATTAAAATGAGGCCAAGATCAGATTAACCAAACCAGACAGACATGTACACCTTACCATTATTCCATACATGAAATATAGTTGACCTATTGCTAATAGTATATAAGAAACAGACCAAACCATGAAAACTTAATATTAACCAAGGAACCATGAAAATGATGTAAAGCTCAGATGAACCCTGCCAGACAGACTTGTACACCATACAATCATTCCATGAATCAAATATAGTTGACATTATTGCTTATAGTATCTAAGAAACAGACTTATCTAGGAATACATTGACCAATGAATCATGAAAATGAGGTCAAGGTCAGATAAACCTTGTCTGACAGTCAAGCACCTTACAATCATTCCGTACATTAAATATAGTTGACCTACTGCTATAGTGTCTGATGAACATGTAGACCTAGCAATGACCCCATACTAAATATAGTTATCTTACTAATCATAATGAGTGCAACCTACATGACAAAAAAACTATTCTTTTTTTTTATGCAGTCACTGAAACCAAGAATATGAGGTCAAGGACAACGGACATATGACAGACTTAAACTTTATAACATAAGGCATCTGCTTACAAGGTATGAAGCCTCCATGTCTTCTACTCTCTGAAATATAAAATTTTAAAAACCGTTTACGCCCTCACCCTTGGAATGTTATCTCTATGTCTCGCTTTCTCTGACTATCATCGCAGGCGAGACACAAAACCAGGTTGAATCATCTAGATAAGAATGCTCTTTATATGGTATACTAGTGTTATCTCAAGCAAAACCAGTATCAGTTCTCTACCATTTAATTCTTTTTCATATATAAATAACAAGAGTGCACACGCTGAAATGTCTAGCCTGCTTTGCTGACCATTGATTTTATGTTGAAAGTCTTAAAGATAAAGGTTTAACTAAAAATATTACAAAAACTAAGGTCAGATATTAAAATGCTGTCAGACTGACAAACACCTTACAATTTTGTATACACAAAATATAATTGACCTAGGCCTATTGCTTAATATAATTGAGAAACAGACCAAAACAAAAATAAACTTAACATTGACCAATGAACCATGAAAATGAGGTCAAGGTCAGATGATAACTACCAGACAGACATGTACACCTTACAATCATTCCATACACTAAATATAGTTGACCTGTTGCTTAAAGTACTTGAAAAACAGACCAAAACACAAATAAAATGCTCCACTGGGCGCAGCTTGATACGACGGCCGAGGTCGAACCCTGAACAGTTGGGGCAAGTATGGACACAACATTCAAGCTTGATACAGCACTGAATTTGGATTGTGATTAAATATTTGACACAGCACAGGTTTCTGACACAGAATGAATGTTGTCTAAGAACATAAAAATTTTTAATTTACCTATTCAAACCATATCCTTATTATTTGCTTTTATATATAAATCAGAAATAACCAATTTAAAATGGAAAATTTTAAAGAAAAAAAAATCCCCCCCCCCCAAATTTTTTGAACCCCCTTGATTCATCACCCCCAAACTCAATCCCAGCCTTCCCTTTGTGGTATGGTACCTGCAGTACAATTTCAGAGAGATCCATACACTTGAACACAAGTTATTGTCTGGAAACTAGAAAAATGCTTGTTTTTTGGCCCCTTTTTGGCCCCAAATTCCTAAACGTTTAGAGCAATTACCCCCAACCTCAAACCCGGCTTTCCCTTTGTGATATGGAACCTTGTAGTACAATTTCAGAAAGATCCATACACTTACACACAAGTTATTGTCATGAAACTAGAAAAATACTTGTTTTTTGCCCTTTTTTTGGCCCCTAATTCCTAAAATTTTGAGGCAATTACCCCCAAAATCAATCCCAGCATTCCCTTTGTGGTATGGTACCTTGCAGTACAATTTCAGAGAGATCCATACACTAACACACAAGTTATGTCTGGAAGTTACAAAAATGCTTATTTTTGGCCCCTTTTTGGGCCCTAATTCCTTAACTGTTGGTACCATAATCCCCAAAATCAATCCCAACCTTCCTTTTGTGGTATTGAACCTTATGGTAAAATTTCATAGAGATCCATTCACTTAAACTAAAGTGAGAGTGCGAAAACCAATGTGCCTTCGGACGACGATGCCCACGCCAATGTCATACCAATATACGACTGCAAAATTTTTTTGCGGTCGTATAAAAACTTAATGTTAACCAATGAACCATGAAAATGAGGTCAAGGTCAGATTAAACCTGCCAGACTGGCATGTACCCATTACAGTCATTTCATACACCACATATAGTTGACCAACTGTTTATAGTATTTGAGTAACATACCTAATCATGTAACTTTAAGCTTGATCACTGATCCATGAAATGAGGTCGAGGTCAGGTGAACCCTGTCTGACGGACATGTAGACATTGTAAAGAACCCATATACCAAATACGGTTATCCTATTACTCATATTTAGTGAGAATTCACATGACTAAAAACTCAAATTTTTGTTCAAGCAGTTGCTGAACCATGAAAATTATTGAGCTCAAGGACATTGGACATATGACAAACAGAAACTTTGTAACACAAGGTATCTGCATACAAGATATGAAGCATTTAGGTCTTCTAACTTCTGAAATATAAAGCTTTAAACAAATAGTTTACGCCCCCCGCAGCCGCCGCTGGATAGTAATACTGATGTATCTCATACTGCGACGAAGTACTGCTACCTTCGTCACAGGAGAGACAAAAAACATAGTTTCCCACTTGAAAATCTATAAATCTATGATGAAATAAATAATGGACTAGTATGTTTTACTCTGGTCAAAGTCCCTAGTGAGCAGGCTATACAAGCAGAAGAAACAACAGCAAGATTTATCCACATACAACTTACTTTGTAATCTTGATTTTCTTACAATTCTATGAATAGTATACAGTTGAACCTAGTTGTGTCGAAAACTCGGATGAGTCAAATGAATTTCTCCGTCAAGGTAAAATTTCCGTTTAATCAATGCATTATTACCTCTGATGAGTCAAAGTAGACTGATTCATTAAATACTACCTTAAGCAAATTTTTTAGTCCCGTCAATGTAAAATTAATGTAAATTGACCACGATGTCTCCAAGTTTGAAAGTAGGAATTTTCAAAAGTTGCAGACCTATAGATAAAAATTCTACTCTGATGTATTTCATATGCAACCTAATCATTTTCAAAAGAGATTAAAGCTGAGTAAACACACAATGATATACACAATCTATTGTGTTTTCAAAAAATACAAAGTTATTACAACAATATAATTACAAAATTTAGATGAAATGAACAGGAAGGTGAAATTATTTATATCAGAATCAATGTCTGTACAATGTATACACCAGTCATTAATAAAATTTTGACTTAATATAACTCATACACCAGTCATTTATAAATTTACCCATGATTGATGGTAGATATACATTTAAATTATCATCTTAGAAAGTATTCATGGAAGAGAGCTTAAAGTGTACCTCTTTAAGAATTGACTACATAATAAAGGTCTCAAAAATGGGATAATAATTCTTCGTTAAACAAAGCAGCAGAAATCCTTAACTTTATAATACTATAGAGGAGAGGATTCCAATAATAATCACAGAAATCCTAAACTTTATAATACTACAGAGGAGAGGATTCCAATAATAATCACAGAAATCCTAAACTTTATAATACTATAGAGGAGAGGATTCCAATAATAATCACAGAAATCCTAAACTTTATAATACTACAGAGGAGAGGATTCCAATAATAATCACAGAAATCCTAAACTTTATAATACAATTGAGGAGAGGATCCCAATTATAATCACAGAAACCCTAAACTTTATAATACTATAGAGGAGAGGATTCCAATAATAATCACAGAAATCCTAAACTTTATAATACTATAGAGGAGATGATTCCAATAATAATCACAGAAATCCTTAACTTTATAATACAATTGAGGAGAGGATCCCAATTATAATCACAGAAATCCTAAACTTTATAATACTACAGAGGAGAGGATTCCAATAATAATCACAGAAATCCTAAACTTTATAATACTATAGAGGAGATGATTTCAATAATAATCACAGAAATCCTAAACTTTATAATACTATAGAGGAGAGGATTCCAATAATAATCACAGAAATCCTAAACTTTATAATACTATAGAGGAGAGGATTCCAATAATAATCACAGAAATCCTAAACTTTATAATACTATAGAGGAGAGGATTCCAATAATAATCACAGACAGGAAATACTGACAAAAGATATAAAGGTTTACCAAAAAAAAAAATAGTTGATTACTTATGTCCATACTACAAAAAATGTATTGATATACCAATTCAGTATTATCATCAGCAAGCCATCCTAAAAATAATTTGTTTTAACTCTTTCTTAAGTTTTAAACAGTATAAAAACTTATTCAATTATGAGTCACTCTTAAAAGCATTGTCCTTGTTCTTGCAACACAATGTGAGTTCTGCTCATAGCTGATGTAACTGGCTGACATTACTCGTCTCCTCAACAAATCTAGCATTCATGTTTTTGTTGAATATTTATAGGGACAACTCACAGTGAATTATCAAAACAATAACAACAAGCATTCTGAGAGTATTGTATGGCAATACACAGCCCCTACCAGTTAAAAATTCATTGTACTGGAACAAAATGCTAACTTGATCTATTACTTGTCATGGTTAAACTACGGTATATAACAAATATCAAGTCAATATCTTCAAGTATGACGAAAAAAAGTGTGGAAAACTGATTATATAAGTGAATTTTCTAAGTCCAAGGACCATAACTCTAAATTGTCAGTAAGGGACTAAAAAGGTAACTTTAAAGAAAGAAATATTTATATAATGCAGGCATAAAAAAGTGATTGCCATACATATCTACAACAGTGTTATTAATAAGAAATAGATCTGAACAAAAAGAAATTGGTAAACAAAATATTGGTATCGATTGTTTACAATTTTTTTACATGTTTACTGTAAAGGATGCTAATTTGAAAGTTATTTATATTTGTTTCCTTTGTGTGACTGTTATTTAGTCAGCATTTTATTTTCAGTGTTGCTTTAACTTGTTCCCTCTGATCAGTAGAATGAATACATAATAAATTTACATATAATTCTGAGCAGCAAACAAGATGTACAATACACACCATTATATTCCATGATAACAAATAATCCATCACAAATCAATCATATTCATGACTACTCTCCCTTTGTTTTGGAGTTGTCCCCCCTTCTTCAAACTTCTGATTCACTCTGGTAATATTATCATACGCCCCTGACTGTGTTACCCTGCAACATAATAATATATCTTTAATGGTGATATTGTCATACGTCCCTGACTGTGTTACCCTGCAACATAATAATATATCTATACTTAGGCAGGTTAAACAAAGGATGAAGAAAGTTTATTCCATTTCAATTTGAGTTTGTTCTTATTGTGTGCAAACATGTTAAACCCTATACCGTAAATTCAGAAATTATTGTTTGCATTTACTATTGCAATTTTGTTATTTTAGACCAAAATGAGATTTTAATTTTTGAGATATTGAGAAAAATCCTGGTTCATTCATATAAAAATTCAAAAATGCGAGCTTTTAAGTTATTGCGATTACAACCAGTCGCATTTTTCACAATAATAAAAACATCGCAATAATTTCCAAATATACAGTATTCATAATGTAAATTTATGGACTTTTTCCATTTCTACATCCTCCATCACTATCTTGAGGAACTTGAAGGTATGGCCACAGGGAAGAGGTCACAGGCTAGACAATATATAAGATAATATCTTACACTTCTTCCATTTCTTCGTCACTATCTTGAGGAACTTGAAGGTATGGCCACAGGGAATAGGTCACAGGCTAGACAATATATAAGATAATAGCTTACACTTCTTCCATTTCTACTTCTTTGTCACTGTCTTGAGAAATATGAAGGTATGGCCACAGGGAGGGAGGGGCGGGGGTCACAGGCTAAACAATACATGAGATAATAACTTACACTTCTTCCATTTCAACTTCTTCGTCACTGTCTTGAGGAACCTGAAGGTATGGATTGTCATTAGCTGGTCTGAACTTATACCCAGTTACTATGAAGAATGTTATTGTGGCTAATTCTTTAAACAGTTGATCTAGCCATTCATACTGGAAAGGGACTGTAATCTGAAAAAGAAAATGTATATTAGTACTGGTTTTATATCAGGATATTTGACAATTGATCTTGAAATGAAAGATTTAAAGCTTTACATATAACTGAACATTAGCAAGAAAAAAAATATGGTAATTTTCTTCACCTGAAGTGTAATAGAAGGTAAATAATATAAAATAAAATGCTCCGCTGGGCGCAGCTTGATACGACCGCAGAGGTCGAACCCTGAACAGTTGGGGCAAGTATGGACACAACATTCAAGCTTGATACAGCACTGAATTTGGATTGTGATTAAATATTTGACACAGCATAGGTTTCTGACACAGAATGAATGTGGTCTAAGAACTTAAAATTTTTTAATTTACCTATTCAAACCATATCATTATTATTTGCTTTTATATATAAATCAGAAATAACCAATTTAAAATGGAAAATTTTAAAGAAAAAAAAGGAAATCCCCCCCCCCCCCCCCCAACTTTTTGAACCCCCTTATGATTCATCACCCCCAAACTCAATCCCAGCCTTCCCTTTGTGGTATGGTATCTTGCAGTACAGTTTCAGAGAGATCCATACACTTGAACACAAGTCATTGTCTGGAAACTAGAAAAATGCTTGTTTTTTGGCCCCTTTTTGGTCCCAAATTCCTAAACATTTAGGGCCATTACCGCCAAACTCAAACCCAGCTTTCCCTTTGTGATATGGAACCTTGTAGTACAATTTCATAAAGATCCATACACTTACACACAAGTTATTGTCCTGAAACTAGAAAAATGCTTGTTTTTTGCCCCTTTTTGGCCCCTAATTCCTAAAATTTTGAGGCAATTACCCCCAAAATCAATCCCAGCCTTCCCTTTGAGGTATGGTACCTTCCAGTACAATTTCAGAGAGATCCATACACTTGAACACAAGTTATTGTCTGGAAACTAGAAAAATTCTTATTTTTGGCCCCTTATTCCTAAAATCAATCCCAGCATTCCCTTTGTGATATGGAACCTTGTGGTACAATGTCAGAGAGATCCATACACTAACACACAAGTTATGTCTGGAAGTTACAAAAATGCTTATTTTTGGCCCCTAATTCCTTAACTGTTGGTACCATAACCCCCAAAATCAATCCCCACCTTTCTTTTGTGGTATTAAACCTTATGGTAAAATTTCATAGAGATCCATTAACTTAAACTAAAGTTAGAGTGCGAAAACCAATGTGTCTTCGGATAACGACGACGACGACGCCAACGTCATACCAATATACGACCGCAAAAACAGTGTTATAATTTCCTCCATGTTGCACATATTTTACCTATCCAAGGCCAATATTCATTTAAACTTTTTATAAACATCTTTCAAGAAATGTAGGCATGATATTGATCACAATGTTTTTTTTTTTCAATATAATTCTTTATGCAAGGGACATTACATCTTTAAAAATAGTTGGTTGGCACTCTTCCAAGACCTTGCTGATATAAGCCTCTCATATAAACTTCATAAAAATTCAGCAAAAATGGTAGGTGTGATAGTGTTTACAATGCTATGTTTAATATAAATAAAATTTCAAAGAGACATCACCTCTTTAAAAATAATAGATCAGTGCTGATTTTGGAACTCACTCAAGACTGATATAAACCTTTGATATAAATTTCAGAACAATCCTACAAGAAATGAAGGTGTGAAGTGCTTACAATACAATTTTCAATATAATTTATATTTGCCAGGGGCATTACTCTCTTAAAAATAATTAATTGGCAAAGATTTTCAAAGTTGTCTGATATTATTATTATAAACATTTGATATAAATTTCATAAATATCTGGAAAGAATTGTACACATGAAAGCCATTACTCAAGTTTTTTGGACCCTTTTTCCTAAACAGTTTGGGCAATAACCCCCCAAAATAAATCCCAACCTTCCTTTTAAGGTATGGAACCTTTGGGTAAAATTTCATAGAGATCCATACACTTATACATACACTAGTTGTCCTGAAACCAGAAAAATGCTTGTTTTTGGACCCAAATTCCTAAACAGCTAGGACAATAACCCCCAAAATCAATCCCAACCTATTGTGGTATGGAACCTAGTTCTACAAATTCATAGAGATCTATAAACTTATACTCGTCATTTTCTGCAAACCAAAATGCCTTCAGACAACAAATGTCTTAGGATGACGATGATATTTAGCCCCTTTATGGTCCCTCATTCCTAAAGAGCTAGGACTATAACCCTCAAAATCAATCCCTAAGTTCCAAAGTTTCTATTGTGGTATGGAACCTTGTGCTACAATTTCATAGAGATCCATACATTAATACTCGTTATTGTATGGAAACCAAAATGTCTTCGGAAAACGAAACAGATGTCGCCATAACATAATACAAAGGCAAAATTTTCAGTCGTATTAAAAGGTTGTAAAAAGAATAATTATAGAAAATCATAGGTGTAATACTTCAGGTCAGTATAAATGATTAGAGTTTTAAAGAAAATTTCTTACATATGCAAGAGTAGAGCCCAACAAACCATTTTTGCCCCTACATAAAACAACATAAATTATCAGAAAAGAGGTAAAAATTGTATACTTACACTGATTAAATAGACTATAATTCTTGTAAAGTAAATATAACAAACTACCTGCAATATAGTGTATAAACAATGGTCATTTCAAACTATTAATAATATAAAATCTGTACAAAATTGTAACACTGTATTTGGGGTTTATACATATTTATATATTTATTGACATGTATATTCTAATTGGCATAATTGATGCTCATTAAGGTTAACATATATATATATATATATATTATAATTCTAATATGACGCTCTCCTTTCTCTTTGTAAACAAAGCCATGTTCTAATCCATTAAAACATGGGGTGCAGTTGTGTGACACCACAATTAAAATCTTAACATAATTTGTTTTTGAACAAAGCCAGAATTCAAACATGTCTTTTAGGTCTGTCTCCAAGTGCCAACGTTTTGAATATTTTTACTATGAATAGTTCGATCATGTCATGCTTTGTGTTGGTTTGTAAAGTTTTCAGTTACTGCAAGACTCCAACTTTCTCATGAATTATGGTCTCTACTACTCTAGCATGTCTAGATGTTTTTGTAATAATCACAGATCTGATAACTTAAATTGTAAGATTGGTTGCAATGAAATACCAGGATTTCTCATTAAAAAAATTCGTAAGGGTTCCGCGGAACCCAGTGTCTCGCCTACTTTTTTCTGTTAATCGCAGGCTCAACAAAAATGAGGAAGTTAATCAATAAAAATATTCCTCTTTATACTATCTTTTGATTGAAAGAAGCTTCTGTCCAAGTTTGGTAAAAATCCAGGATAGTTTATGAATCTAATAAATGTTTAAAAACTTTAACTGCAGACTGAATGTAATGTTAACTGGAAAAAACAAAATTTCCTTCTAGATACTAGCATTTGATCATAAACAAGCTTCTGTCCAAGTTTGGTACAAATCCAAAATAGTATAAGAAAGTTATTAAAATTTTAAAAACTTTAACCACAGAGTGAATATGTTGTTTCCTGGCAGAAAATCTAAGTCCATTTAAAAGTAAAATATGGAAAAAATGGATTTATTTTTTTACAAAATTTCCTTCTAGATACTAGCTTTTGATCATAAACAAGCTTCTGTCCAAGTTTGGTACAAATCCAAAATAGTATAGGAAAGTTATTAAAATTTTAGAAACTTTAACCACAGAGTGAATGTGTTGTTTCCTGGCAGAAAATCTAAGTCCATTTAAAAGTAAAATAAGGAAAAAATGGATTTATTTTTTTACAAAATTTACTTCTAGATACTATCTTATGATCATAAACAAGCTTCTGTCCAAGTTTGTTACAAACCCAGGATAGTTTAAGAAAGTTATTAAAATTTTAAAAACTTTAACCACAGAGTGAATGTAATATTTCCCGGCAGAAAAACTAAGTCCATTTATAAGTAAAATACGGAAAAAATGGAATTTTATTTTTACAAAATTTACTTCTGGATACTATCTTATGATCATAAACAAGCTTCTGTCCAAGTTTGGTAGAAATCCAAAATAGTTTAAGAAAGTTATTAAAATTTCAAAAACTTTAACCACAGAGTGAATATTTGTGGACGCCGCCGACGACAACGACGACGACGACGACGCCGACGGAATGTAGGATCGCTATGTCTCGCTTTTTCGACTAAAGTCGAAGGCTCGACAATAAAACCAATAATTTTACTCTACTGACATCATACAACATTCAGTGTTTTTGAGACATTGTCTATTTTGTTGATCATAAAGGGTTTAAGAATCTGTAGAGAAATATACTTCCTTGTACTTCCTATTTTTGTTTTTACATTAAAAAGTCCATGATCAATGTAATTATAAGATTAACCAATCCAAAAATTAAAATATTCAAAAATAATTCGACAAATGACCAAACAACACTGATATTTAACTGATGTGCTACAAGCATTGGTGAATTAATGTGTTATAAGTCACTTGTTATTTTTCTACAGTTTATTTCTTGGATTGGTTATTCTATAATTCCTATCAACTGATCTTTCCCCATTTGTTATGTCACTTGTTATTATTCTACATTCTATTTCTTGGATTGGTTATTCTATAATTCCTATGTAATCCATGGACCTGTTCTTCAGTAGCTGTTGTTAATTATATTAAATTTTTTTCAGTATTAATGCTACTACTGGCTTGAATCAGGGTGTCAGGTTTTTTGCTTTTTTCCCATTCATTTAAGTTCTTAATTAATTGTTGCAGGCAATGCATGTTCCTGTAGACATTCACATCTGTTAGTTTTTGTAGTCTTATTGAGAACCAAATACTAGATTAGTTGCTCAGTCTTTAGTTTTCTATGTTGTATTTTGCGTACTGTTGCTTGTCTTTAGGTGTTTTCTTTTTTATACATTGCATTGTCAGTCTATTTTCAACTTTATATTAGTTTGAATGTCATTTTGGTATCCTTTTACCTACCATTATATATAACTATATCACACCGCAGGTAAATTATGATGTTGTGATTGGTTTAACATCGTCATGTGGTAACCCTCTATGAATCCGTAGGGGGTTAGTAAATTTCTTGGGTTCATGATGTCAGGTTTACTATTAATGGTGACGTCATCGATTGATTTTGTTGTATTTCATTGTTTATTTTTCTACAAAACCCGGCATGAAAAGTCCCACATGCAATAAATTCACGGTTCACGGTTGGCCTCACCCCCTATGTATTTTGCTAACCCTCTATGGATCCGTAGGGGGTCAGTAGCGAACAATATAACTTATAGTCTGAATGCTTCCATTATATAAAACAGTCTGAATACCTACCATTATATAAAACTGTCTGAATACCTTCCATTATATAAAACTGTCTGAATACCTTCCATTATATAAAACTGTCTGAATACCTTCCATTATATAAAACAGTCTGAATACCTACCATCATATAAAACTGTCTGAATACCTTCCATTATATAAAACTGTCTGAATACATTCCATTATATAAAACTGTCTGAATACCTTCCATTATATAAAACTGTCTGAATACCTACCATAATATAAATCAGTCTGAATACCTTCCATTATATAAAACTGTCTGAATACCTTCCATTATATAATACTGTCTGAATACCTACCATTATACAAGAGTGCACATGCTGAAATGTCTCACCTTCTTTACTGACAATTGATTTTATGTTGATAGTCATGAATATAAAGCTTTACTGCAAGTATCACATAACCTTAACATGATTCAAGAAAATGAGGTCAAGGTCAGATAAATCAAAAGGGAAACACATGTACATCTTGCAATCATTCAATACACCAAATATAGTTGACCTATTGCTTATAGTTTCGAAGAAACAGACTTAACCAGGAAAACTAAACATTGACCAATGAACCATGAAATTGAGGTCAAGGTCAGTTGAACCATGCCCGACAGACATGTTCACCTTTCAATCAATCTATGAATTAAATATAGTTGACCTATTGCTTATAGGATCTACGAAACAAACTTAACCATGAAAACTTAACTTTGACCAATGAACCATGAAAATGAGGTCAAGGTCAGATGATAACTGCCAGACTGACATGTACATCATAAAATAATCTTAAGGGATAAAAATCGGGATAAGACAAATAAAATGCTCCGCTGGGCGCAGCTTGATACGACCAGAGGTCGAACCCTGAACAGTTGGGGCAAGTATGGACACAACATTTAAGCTTGATACAGCACTGAATTTGGATTGTGATTAAATTTGACACAGCATAGAATTCTGACACAGAATGAATGTGGTCTAAGAACTTAAAAAATTTTAATTTACATATTCAAACCATATCATTATTATTTCCTTTATATATAAATCAGAAATAACCAATTTAAAATGGAAAATTTTAAAGAAAAAAAAAGGAAAAAAAAATCCCCCCCAAATTTTTTAAACCCCCTTATGATTCATCACCCCAAACTCAATCCCAGCCTTCCCTTTGTGGTATGGTACCTTGCAGTACAATTTCATAGAGATCCATACACTTGAACACAAGTTATTGTCTGGAAACTAGAAAAATGCTTGTTTTTTGGCCCCTTTTTTGCCCCATATTCCTAAACATTTAGGGCAATTACCCCCAAAATCAAACCCAGTTTCCCTTTGAGATATTGAACCTTGTAGTACAATTTCATAAAGATCCATCCACTTACACACAAGTTATTGTCCTGAAACTAGAAAAATGCTTGTTTTTTGCCCCTTTTTAGGCCCCTAATTCCTAAAATTTTGAGGCAATTACCCCCAAAATCAATCCCAGCCTTCCCTTTGTGGTATGGTACCTTGCAGTATAATTTCAGAGAGATCCATACACTTGAACACAAGTTATTGTCTGGAAACTAGAAAAATGCTTATTTTTGGCCCCTTATTCTTAAATGTTTTGCGCAATTCCCCCAAACTCAATTTAAGCTTTCCCTTTGTGATATGGAACATTGAAGTACAATTTCAGAAAGATCCATAGACTTACACACAAGTTATTGTCATGAAACTAGAAAAATGCTTGTTTTTTGCCCCTTTTTTGGCCCCTAATTCCTAAAATTTTGAGGCAATTACCCCCAAAATCAATCCAAACATTCCCTTTGTGGTATGGTACCTGCAGTACAATCTCAGAGAGATCCATACACTTGAACACAAGTTATTGTCTGGAAACTAGAAAAATGCTTATTTTTTGGCCCCTTATTCCTAAACGTTTTGGGCAATTACCCCCAAACTCAATTCCAGCTTTCCCTTTGTGATACAGAACCTTGTAGTACAATTTCAGAAAGATCCATAGACTTACACACAAGTTATTGTTATGAAACTAGAAAAATGCTTGTTTTTAGCCCCTTTTTTAGCCCCTAATTCCTAAAATTTTGAGGCAATTACCCCCAAAAACAATCCAAACATTCCCTTTGTGATATGGAACCTTGTAGTACAATGTCAGAGAGATCCATACACTTGAACACAAGTTATGTCTGGAAGTTACAAAAATGCTTATTTTTGGCCCCTTTTTGGCCCCTAATTCCTTAACTGTTGGTACCATAACCCCCAAAATCAATCCAAACCTTCATTTTGTGGTACTGAACCTTATGGTAAAATTTCAAAGAGATCCATTCACTTAAACTAAAGTTAGAGTGCGAAAACCAATGTGTCTTCGGACGACGACTCCAACGTCATACCAATATACGACCACAAAATTTTTTGGCGGTCGGATAAAAATGTACGGCTGGCACAAATATTTTTTGGAAGCCCTGTCCCTATGTCGAGCTATCTGCGACTTCTCAACAATAAAACTGTCTGAATACCTTCCATTATATAAAACTGTCTGAATACCTACCATAATATAAAACTGTCTGAATACCTACCATTATATAAAACTGTCTGAATACCTTCCATTATATAAAACTGTCTGAATACCTACCATAATACAAAATAGTCTGAATACCTTCCATTATATAAAACTGTCTGAATACCTTCCATAATATAAAACTGTCTGAAAACCTACCATAATAAAAAACTGTCTGAATACCTACCATTATATAAAACTGTCAGAATACCTACCATTATATAAAACTGTCTGAATAATTTTAGTTTAAGGAGACATATTGCAGCTTTGCCGTCAGTGTTTGATGCTTCTGTCAGATGTCTGATAGACCTACAAATACAAACAATAATAGAACTCAAAAGATCTATGACTGCAAGGCCAGATTTTCATATGAACAAACTATTACTTCACGTTGGCCAACAGTTACATTGTAGTTTTAAGGAAGAAGATTATTTAATATTGGGAAATGGGCATTAAACATTGCCTCTACCAGTCAACTTTTTCATCTGATCATAAGGAAATGTAAACCATTTGTAAAAGATCATCCGTACATAATTCCTTCAAAGTTTTATTCAAATGGTTAAGTGGTTTTAAAGAAGAAAATGAAGATGTGAAAGTTTATTGATGACAGATAACATGAATGTTCCGGACAACAGACAACATGTGATTTGTGAATTTAAAATGTTAAAGTTTATGGTTCAGCCTTTGAGAAGCCGTTGATTAAGAGAATTGTAATTTGTAGAACTATATTTTGGAGTACCTGATGATGATCTTATAAAAACTTTTACATTTCATGATTTGGTATTAACTGTTATAACAGAGATATTTCTCGTGTCTGTAACTTCATCACAAAGTTTAACAATTGTTATCACAGCTGACACTGAAGATGCTGGAGCTGTTAATATGCTTCCGCAACTATTGTGACTGAAGAGACAAATAATACAAGACAAATAAGTATGGTTGGCCTCCTCCATCTCTAAATCAATATATTTATTATAACTTAATATTGACAAGTCTTACATGTTACTATCAGACATGTCAAATTACTTACCATACAACAGGGAACAGTATAGCACCACAACATAACAAGTCGATCATGATAAATAGCTGTTTCCAGATATGGTACTGTAACTGGCCTTCTTCACTCTCTTCTATGATAATGTAAGCTATGTTATCAAATACCTACAAAATACAAAATTGACTTCACACATTTTAACAAATTGATAACTATAATATATGGTTAATGCATGTAAATTGTTGAACATTGTCCTGAGCAGATATTGCATGATCTTGCTAGTGCAACAATATATTCTATGAGGGATAATATTCACCAGTTTCCATGCAATAAACATTTGACTGTATGGCAAAGCTTGAAAAACTGTAAAAATCATGTTTATGTCAATAGTGTAATATCATAGTACAGAAGACTCTGGCAAATCGGGTACCCAAAATGTCAGCAAAAAATATCACATTATCCGATACATTCAATTAGACCATAAATGTATATTCATTGAATATTCTGCAATAAAGAGTTAAACTTAATCCTGAGATGTTACTAGCCCTGACCACTGCTATATATATAAAAGGGTTGGAGTGATTTTTATCAGATATATCACCACGATGTTTGTGTAAAAAATTATCAGTTGGTTATGTAATGCTCATATTTGTTTTCAGTTTTTAAATCCTATCTTTATTAATATAAATCAAATGTCCTGAAATATTTATGTGAATAAGTATCTATCATCCATAGTTCGTGTCTGTATTTGTTTTTTATAAACGAAGTAGTATCCATATTTACATTAAACAAGAGTGCACACGCTGAAATGTCTCTCCCAGGGCTTCCAAAACGGTCATATATTCCGGACTTGACCGAAACTTTCATAAAAAGTCCGGCTGCTCTCAGCCTCAAACGGTCAAATAGAATTGGTTTGCCACTTTTTGTTATTCAAGGCATTTTCATAAAACGGTCATTTCAATTTTTACCAACTATCGATCGATAAAAATGTCCGTTTGGGGCTTTGGGCATGTCCGTTTGAGCATTTTAGTTTATAATTGTGGCAATCTATTTCACAAAGATATTTCGGTCATAATTGGGTTTAATAAAACAGATGCAGCATATTTCAGATACTTTGAAGTGTCTCAGTTAGTCTAATCCTCTGGGTACATAAATGTACCGCTTGGTCTTTAGCTTGTGTACATCAATAAAAAGTAGAAAAAACACGTTTTCTTTTATTTAAATAACAACAAGCTGTCAAACAATTATCCCTTCAATAAGTTATATTGAAGCCATAAATCATTCACTGATTACAGGTTTGTAACATTTGATGAGGTGTCCTTAGCTTGTCTTTATCAATAGAATTAATGATGCATAACACTGTACATAAAGGTGATCAGGTAAACGAGGTCAAACATGTAAGCGTGTATGGAACAACATCCTATTTAATTACACTTTATAGATATTATTTTAAATGAGCATTCAGTTTAAAAAAAGTATCCTGATATTTAAAAGTTATTCTTCAAATAAGGATATTTATAAATGAATAAGTATGATATATATTATTTTATTTAACACTGTACATCGTGTTAAATACTGGGGTACTCTAAAGGGGAAAATTTATTGATATATATAGGAAAAACACCGAGAATAGCCGAGTTGTCCAATAAATAAGGGGGGCGTTCTCTATTCTTGTTTTCATATTAAAAACTGTTTTTATAATTGAAATCAGAAAGAAGAATAGCCAATCATGACAATCTCCGAATGTTATAAAGACTTTGTCTCAAATTGAACTTTACAAATCTGCCGTCATGGGCAAACTTCAACGTGACGATTCCGATCAAAATTCGAAATCTGCAAAAAATGCTAGAAGCTTTATTCATAAATGGTTACAACTGTTTTTATGGTTAAGATTTGACAGTATGCTAAATGCCATGTTTTGTGACATTTGTCAAAAACATAAACTTAAAAATAACTTTTCGAAAGTCAGCCGTTGTAGAGCATGCTAATAGCAATGACCACGTTCAAGCTCTTAAATTAGAGACAGCTTCCAAAAGTAATCCAATTGTATCAGTATTTGAGAAAGTTCATGAAAAGACTGACAACGCAATGTGCACCTTGTTCTGTAATGCTTACTTTATTGCTAAAGAAACCTTACCAATGGACAAATTTCAGTCAATAAATGATTTAACTAAGTTAAATGGTGCCGTGATCACTTCTAAATTACATCAAGAGAACAATGCCTGCTCCGAATTTATTCAAACAATTTCCGATATTATAGAGAAAGAGGTGATGTCCGACGTAAAGTTAAGTCCCGCCATGGGAATCAACTGATCTGGCTACGCAAAAACATTTAATTTTGTACTTATCATACCTCAAAGCTGGTGAACTGAAAATTAGTTTAAATTATTTATCAACTGAGTTTGTTTTTATTTATTCTTCTCATTTTCTAAATCAGGTTGGGAAATTGTACAAAGAAAAATGTTATTACTGTTCAGTAGATTTTACACGGTTTAAAACAATATCCTTCATTGGGCCTCCTCAATATTATCTATAAATACCGCATCAGTTGTAAAAGTCACGTGGTCAGGTAATCAATACACAAAAAGAAAAGTATCACGTGTATTGATGATCAAGTTGACTTGTACTGCAATTAAAGCCAACATCAACAGTTTCAAATAAGATACCCTTAATTTACAAAGTGTTAAGTACTCACAGAGAGAAGATAGATTATATAAACAGAAACAAAAACATGAGAACAGTCAGGTACTGAAGCTGATTGATGCAATGATGGTTACTGTATTACGATACACAGAAAAATGACACAATACCGAGGATAATATTTTATTTATTTTTAGAATGAAGAAAACAAAACAGTTATGAATAATTTTATTGCATATAACACTACTAATTATTTAGACACATATATCAATTTATGCATCCTTTCAGTTACATTTAAGTATCCAGCTGATCATTGACCGTCAAAATATTTCTTTGAAAAATGTCCGGCTGTCGTCAGGAAATTTTGGAAGCCCTGGTCTCCCCTTCTTTACTAATCATTGATATTATGTTGATAGTTCTAAATATAAAGCTTTACTACAACTATCACATAATTTTAACATGATCCAAGAAAATGAGGTCAAGGTCATATAAACCAAACAAGAAATACATGTACACCTTACAATCATTCAATACACTAAATATAGTTGACCTATTGCTAATAGTTTCTAAGATACAGACTTTACCAAGAAAACTAAACAATGACTAATGAACCATGAAAATTAGGTCAAGGTCAGATGAACCATGCCAGGCAGACATGTACAGCTTGCAATCCTTCCATACAACAAATATAGTTGACCTATTGCTTATAGTAATAGAAAAACAGACCAAAACACAAAAACTTAACTAAAACCACTGAACCATGAAAATGAGGTCAACGTCAGATGACACCTGCCAGTTGGACATGTACACCTTACAGTCCTTCCATACACCGAGTATGCTAGACCTATTGCTTCTAGTATCTGAGATATGGACTTGACCACCGAAACTTAACCTTGTTCACCGATTCATGAAATGAGGTCGAGGTCAAGTGAAAACTGTCTGACTGGCATGAGGACCTTGCAAGGAACGCAAATACCAAATATAGTTATCCTATTACTCATTATAAGAGAGAAATTAACATTACAAAAAATCTTAACTTCTTTTTCAAGTAGTCACTGAACCATGAAAATGAGGTCATGGACAATGGGCATGTGACAGACGGATACTTCGTAACATAAGGCATCTACAAGTAAGTAAAAAACAAAATTTTCTTTTCTGCAAGATTGTTACTGTGTAACTTCAAGGGTGCATTTCCTGTCAGAAAAACATTGAAAATATCTAATTGTGCATGGTTTTGACAGAATTTTCCTGAATATTCTTATCCTATTTGCTTATATATTCATATATCCGATATTCTTTTACAGGATAAAACTACAATTAAACATATAGAGAAGGGTTTGGTGTTTTGCAATAATATTACAATAGCCTATATATTTGTTTAGCAGAAATCCAATTAGGTGGAGTCTGCTGTATTCACAAATTAAATAGGTTGACCTGTAGTGGTTAGACACATTAAATAAGATTACCTGTAGTGGTTAGACAAATTAAATAAGATTTACCTGTAGTGGTTAGATAAATAAAATAAGATTACCTGCAGTGGTTAGACAAATCAAATAAGTTAACCTGTAGTGGTTAGATAAATTAAATAAGATTACTTCTAGCACTTGGTTAGATAAATTAAATAAGTTAACTTGTAGAGGTTAGACAAATTAAATAAGATTACCTGTAGTGGTTAGACACATTAAATAAGATTACCTGTAGTGGTTAGACAAGACAAAATAAATATGTGTACCTAGAGTGGTTAGACACATTAAATAAGTTTACCAGTAAGAATGGTGAGTCTAATTAAACAATTTACCTGTAGTGGTATGATAATCAGAAACAATTTCTTTTCCTTGTCTGACAGGATATGTTTGACAAACGCCCATCCTGCTCCAACTAATATAATTGTAATAATCATCAAGGATCCTTTGGTTCTGTAAATAATATTCTCATAGGATTAAAACTGAATCGTTTTTAATTACTATTTAATTTTATTTTTTATTAAGATGGTACATAACACTACAGGAAGATAACTCTGTAAAAATCAGCTGAACGTTTTAACCAAGTTCTATTGTTAAGGAAATATTAAGCTTCTCAATGATCAAAATTAGTGTATGTCAAACTGCTATATATCCAATGAATTTTTTTCCCATAAAGTGTGGTTCAAGTTTTTTGAAATTTTTATTTTTTTGTCAAAGGGTCAACAAATATTTTGTCAAAATTTTATGAAAATTAAACAATCCAAATTAATTTAAGTCAAGGTGTTTTGTACCACCTTAAAGATAATTTTAATGCAAATCTGTATGTGACATTCAATTTAATTGAATAACAACAAGATTACAGCAACTCATCAACAAAAGTTTATTAAAACAGAAATGTGGGATGAGCATCTGATAGCAACTCAACAACAAAAGTTTATCAAAACAGAAATGTTGGATGAACATCTGACAGCAACTCATCAACAATTTCTGTTTTAATAAACTTTTGTTGATGAGTTGCTGTCAGATGTTCATCCCACATTTCTTTTTTAATTAACTTTTGCTGTTTAGTTGCTGTCAGATGTTTATTCCACACCTGTTTATTCATATTGAATACATTTCATCCTTAACACTAATCTAAACAGAACTACTATACTAGACCTGCCAGCCTTTAAGATTTATGAAGGATTACCCCCATGAGAGGTGTTGACCTGAATTTTTAAATTCTTAATTTTATGAACTAAACACCTCAAATTATCCGTTCAAATGAGAAGGGAGGGTATCAAAGCACATACATACTCATTCAAACTATTTAGTAGTAGATTAAAAACACTTGTGACAATTCAAGAGAAGCATTAGTTCCTCTGGCTCTTAAAACCTTCATAGAAATTTTGAAACAACAGCCGATGACTGTATAAAATAAGTCAATACAATTTGAATGCGTAAAATACACAGTTTGCAGTTTAAACAGAAATATGTTGCTCCCATAATGATAAGCACCTCCAATAGATTAATTATAATGTAATAATTATTCTCTTCAATAAACCAGTAAGTATTGAGAATCTATCTAGCACCTTAAAGAATATTTTACTTACAAATATACAATATAATATAACACAGCCCAAGCTTCCTCGTGAATCCCTTCTTTACCAATGTAATAGATATTTACCTGTAAAACATATAGCCTTATAAATGTCAATGGATGTAGCTTATGATCATTATTTTTTAAGTGCACTTTACATAACTCTGAACCATGGGGTAAAGATGTTTACACACATGTTCTCGTGTAATTTTTAGTTTAAGTAATTTCAACTGTTTCAACTCATATGTGTGTCTGATTTATGGGATATTATTACATTCAACTCATATGTGTGTCTGATTTATAGGATATTATTACATTGTCATAATAACTTAAATAGTTAGCAATTATTATAGGTAACCTTTAAGGGACACTCTGCATGAAATATACTTTATTTTCAAAAGGAAATTTTCATGCTATTATTTTCAAGTTTTCAATTTATATTTACATTATTCATCTAATTGTGAAAATTGCATAAATGAATTACTGTGGAATCATTTATTTTCGTGGAAACCAATTTTCGTGGATTGAGAAAAACTTGCATTTTCGTGGATATTTGATTTCGTGGTTTTGACAATGTCTGCATTAACCTTATCATGCTTATAGAAAATGTGTAATTCGTTGAACATTTAAATTCGTGGTTTATCAATATCCAAGAGATCCACGAAAATTGGTACCCCACGAATAATAATGAATCCACAGTAGTTGATATACAAATACCATATTATATGGACATTCATTAATTATTGGTTTACATACCTTGGTAAACATGTCGGATTATCATGTGACATACATCAGTTATCCCTTTATGTACCTTAATATTTTTACAACAATTCTTTGATTCATCATTAATTAAAGAACATTAGTGAGCGCGCTCACATACCCCACGTCCCCACATTGTCATTGGAGAAATAAAATAAGTGTAAGAAAAAAAAATTGTATCAGAAAAAAAAATTGAATCATAATTTCCTGTCAATATGCACATCTACATAGTATGTCCTTATTATCTACACAGTTTCATGAAATTCTGTTGTGTGGTTTGAGAAGAGTTGCGATGACAAAAGGTTGCAGTAGTATATTGGGCAAATAAGTTCAAAGGGGCGTAACTCCTGGAAAAAAAATTGAATCGTAATTTCTTGTCGATATGCACATCTACTAAGTATGTCCTTATTATCTGTAAAGGTTTCATGAAATTCTGTTGTGTGGTTTGAGAAGAGTTGCGATGACAAAAGGTTGCAGTAGTATATTGGGCAAATAAGTTCAAAGGGGTGTAACTCCTGGAAAAAAAATTGAATCGTAATTTCCTGTCGATATGCACATCTATGTAGTATGTCCTTATTATCTGAAAAGGTTTCATGAAATTCTGTTGTGTGGTTTGAGAGGAGTTGCGATGACAAAAGGTTGCAGTAGTATAATGGGCAAATAAGTTCAAAGGGGTGTAACTCCTGGAAAAAAAATTGAATCGTAATTTCCTGTCGATATGCACATCTACGTAGTATTTCCTTATTATCTGAAAAGGTTTCATGAAATTCTGTTGTGTGGTTTGAGAGGAGTTGCAATGACAAACTGTTGCAGTAGTACATTAAAGTAAATAAGTTCAAAGGGGGTAACTCCTAGAAAAAGAATTGAATCGTAATTTCCTGTCCATATGCACAACTACATAGTATGTCCTTATTATCTAAAAAGGTTTCGTGAAATTCTGTTGTGTGGTTTGAGAGGAGTTGAGATGACAAGAAACAGGACTGACGGACTGACGGAGTGACGGACGGACGGACAGACGGAGGGACAGACGGGTCAAAAACATTATACCCTCTGCAACGAGTTGCGTGGGGTATAAATATATAGATTAACATTCTCATTACTTACTGCATGAAACATACTGGAAAAACTTTTTACTATCACAACTGCAAACATCAAATAGTGGATTTTATACACATCATCACTGAAAAATATACATAAAATACACATCATCATTCAATAATATACACAAAATACACATCATCACTGAAAAATATACATTAAATTCACATCATCGCTCAATAATATACACAAAATACACATCATCACTGAAAAATATACATTAAATACACATCATAGCTCAATAATATACACAAAATACACATCATTGCTGATTAATATACACAAAATACACATCATTGTTGAAAAACATTTACAAAATTAAATTTACTACTTCCAAATAAGGCAATAAAAGGAACAATACAATCGATTGAGTTTGCTCCCTGTGTTTACATTCCATACTTCTCAAAAGCCAATAAATTACATGAATAATATTACCAACTGAGTTTCTTCTGTTTAAATACATTCCTATCCTAATAGGCTGCATTTTAGTGCATAGTATTGTTTTTAAAATTCACTTTATTTATAGATATAGATGGACTGTTGGCACATTTAAAATACAACAGAATTTAGGCTTTTAGAGTCATTTAGGCTAATTTTTTCTGAAGCAAAGTTTTATGAAACATGTGTTTGTCCTGAGAAAAGAGATAAAACTCATCTACTTCATGCTTTGAGTCCTGTGTGGTAATAAGTTACAATGTACCTGAATTTGTAAACCATATCAATTTAAAATGAACATATATTTTACAGTTTGGGTTTTTTGCTTGTGAGAGAACTGTCTAACATATTCAGTTATGTATCATTTGGTCACTGGTGGAGAGTTGTCTCGTTGGCAATCATACCACATCTTCTTATTTGTATATGGCATTGGTATAGAGGACCACATAGGTGCAATGTTTACCTTGGTTTCTAGTATACAGCATTATCCATGTTATCTGAATAATTACCTGGATTTCTTTAGAACACTCATCCAGAGACACCCAGCTGCTAAATACAGGACAAAGAAAGAGAAATACAATGGAGCCAGGGGTATTTCTCCAGCAGACAGGTAGGTGGCATCATTTTTCTCAGTTATCTTTAGCTAGCAAAATAATATTATGCTTAATGTTAATGAAATATTATAAAGCTATAAAAGTATCATTTGTTAACTTCTACTGCTATAAGCTATAAGTATATATATATATATATATAAAGAAAAGTCAAATAGAACCGTATGCTGGTAAAATATAAGAAAAATAATATAAGATAATGACGGTTTCAATTCATCACTTTTACTTAAATAAGTGATTTATTTGTAAAAGTGATGAATTGAAACCTTCATTATCTTATATTATTTTTCTTATATATATATATATTTATATATATATATATATATATATATATATATAGGTTAGCAACTACATGGGTAACCTTTAAGGGACACTCTGCATGAAATATGCACACATTGTTATTTTCAAAAGGAAATTTTCATGCTTTTAGATGATTTATTTTCCTCATCCTTATCTTCTTTTCTGAATTTAATTCAATTAAAGTATGGCAATACCTAAATACCTTGAATGACTAATAGCATCAACAAATTTATTTTCCAAAATTATTATTTTTGGTGTTTAACACTTTCTAGACAACATGGTGGCTATTCTTTATATACTTATATATCTTTATAATCATACATCTCATTAATTAATTCCTTTATCTTAAAAATATATTTATTTGTATAATATTAAAACATAATTTTTCTTTTACAATCCATCAATCTTTATCTTTTTTCAAGCTCCTTCAGTTAACCAATACTTTTTTTATGATATGCCTGTCTTATAACACATTCAGCCACATTCACTAACTTTTCCTAATGAGCTATATTTTTCTGACTTAATTAAACAAAAAAGGTTACAATTTATGAATTAAACTGCCAGGATTTCACATGCTTTTTTTAATAACCATTCAGCAGTCAGGGGAATTACTGAAATAAGTGATTTATAAAATCACTTATTTAAGGTAGCACTACAGTCTAACAATGATTTTTTGAAGATATTTTTGTTATCACATAATTTTGAATTAAGTATTATTCTGCACAGTTTGTAAAAATCCCAAAGTCATTATCATATCACAACAGGGAGTAAATTGATAATGAACTTATGTAAATAAAAGCACATGGTAATCAATCTAAATATATAGGCATTTGGGAGGGGCTAATATGTCAATCATCTGTTGATACCAGTGTCCAGCTGTTAATCCCTGACCACAAGATAAATATTGTGGTCTTATCTCATTGTATTGCAACAAAAGTAATTTATATAACATGTTTATAAACAGAGAAAAAGAAAAAGATATGAAGGAAAAAATCTAAAGGGAAGAAATCTACAAAAAATGAAAAAAAATATGGAAAAGAGTGTGAAAGTATCTTTGAAAGCCTCTGACTGCCTGTATAAATTTCTTCTATTTGGTCTTCTACATTTAAATACAGTTTTAGGCATTTTAACCAATTTTAAGTTTATGTGAAATTTTTCAATTCCATAAAACTCAAAAATCATGTTGGAATGTCTTTTTTTAAAGAAGTGGATGGTCTTGGATCTTTTTATTAACATGTCTTTTGATGCACAATTTTAATGTTCTAGCTTAAATTTCAGTAATAGTATATTTCTTTTTAAAATACAAATGAAATTTATTCTTAATAGTGAGAATAATGATGTTAAATATTGATTATATGCAGCTGGTAAATCCTGTTATTCTCTTATCTTAGACTGTCTGGACAGAGGCGGAGCTTTGTCTATATTTAATTACTACATCACAAATATTGGTCAAATCTGTGACGTCAAACTCCCGCCAAATGCCAAGTTAATGTTGCACAGTGCCACACATAATGCAAAATTTACAGCATAAGAGCATCAAAGAGACAAAGTGTGAGGTTCTATTGATAAAGTAATGGTGTCAGAATACTCCTGGGGTGTTCCCAGTGTAATTTTTGTATTTATGTTGCATTTATAGGGGTTCTAAGGGGGAAATCCGTTTTTAGGTCATTTCTCAGAACAATTTTTCATGAGATTTGTTAGGAAAAAATGAAAATATAAACTTTATGGGTACCCCCTTTGGCTTGACTTTGATATAAGTGATTAAAGGGAGTATTTTCTACAATGCCGTGTCCCAGTTTTTGGATAATTTGTTTCTAAATGAATTTATAGGTCTCTAAAGATGAAAGGTGAAATGAGGTTTGGCACCCAGCAGTTAAATCAATATATCTTCTTACTGGAGGCATATATCAAAAATCTGAGACACGTTTTTGCAGTTTGTATATCGTTGATTAAAGGGATGAAAACAAATTTTTACTACCATTTGACCTGAATGTGCCATTTCCATCCAAGTTGGAAGACCATTTTTTTTGGAATTAATGAGCTATATTTTGAGATTTATCATACCAAAAATAAATTTATCTATGGATTAAGAAAGAGTAATATTTCAGCTTTAAAATGAGTTAAAGATTTTAAAAATCCATTGAGTAGTTTTGGAGAAATTAATCTTTAAAGACTGTTGATTGGAGTCAGAAAATTCTGACTGTAGTGCTACCTTAAGTAGCAAATTCGAAATTTTGTCACAAATTTTGATTTTGTAGTTTTATCAAAATTTTAAACATATAGGTTTAGCTTAAATCTCATTATTAGTAAAATTGGAAAACATGAACCTTTATCTTCCTTTAAATAGCAAGGTTTATGCCTTTGATGCAATCATTTAGCTGTAAATTCTATATTTGTTGAAAAAATACTATAATGAAGGCTTTACATAATGAACTGATACTTTCTTAACAGATTTTTCCCAGCAGTGGGAGTAATTTTCCTGTAAAATTCAAGGTTTTATCTTACAGATTATGTAATAAAATTTTAATGTTCGCGATCAAAATTTCACTGTTCAGGGTGTTGAAATTAGTGGGGGTAATTAAAATAATAATACTTAAAGCAGTGATATTTTGAAAGAAAATAGAGGTATGATACTTAAACAAGTGATTTTCATGTCATTATCCCAGATTCAGTACAAGGTCATCCTATCATCACAGATGTTGGTTCTGATAATTTTAGCAACACAATTAGTCCCTGGATCATTAATATTGTAAATTAAAGCTACAATAAAATTAAATCACTTAGTCTAGTGATTTATTTGTACTACTTAAATAGGTGATTATCGAAGAAAGACAACTCTTACTTCCAACATTTCTGGACAAAATGTTACTTGAATCAGTGATTTAAAAATCACTCATTTAAGTAAGTCCCCCGACTGTTCAGATTTCAACTCAAATGCTATAATAAACTGCTTCGCTGAGCGCAGCTGGATACGCCCGCAGAGGTCTAACCCTGAACAGTTGGGGCAAAAATGGACACAATATTCAAGCTTGATACAGGTCTGAATTTGGATTGTAATTAAATATTTGACATACATCTATCATAGGTTTCTGAATAAATGTAGTCAAAGAACTTGAAGTTGGTTAGATGAATTGAATTTATATTCAATTAAAGATTTCTTGCTGTTGTGCAATACACTGTGCTGTTGCGCAATATTTAGTAAATCTGTTGTCAGACTATAAACAAATAAAATTTATAAAATTCTAAAGGGAGCTTACATCAATAGATATAAACAGTTCACCAAAGTTTCATACGAATTGCTGAAAGCATTTTTGAGTTTTTGTCTGAAAACTGGAAAATCCCCCCTTTTTTAATGAATAAACCCCATAATTCAGAAATGTAAAATCTAAAATTTATAAAATTCTAAAGGGAGCTTACATCAATAGATATCAACGTTTCATCAAAGTTTCATGAGAACTGCTGAAAGCATTTTTGAGTTATTGTCCCAAAACTGGAAAATCCCCCTTTTTTTTATAAATAAAACCCCATAACTCGGAAACGTAAAATCTAAAATTTATAAAAATCCAAAGGGAGCTCATGTCAATAGATATAAACAATTAACCAAAATTTCTTGCAAGTTGGTGAAAGCATTCTCGAGTTATTGTCGGAAAACTGGAAAATCCCCCTTTTTTTAATGAATAAAACCCCATAACTTGGAAACGTAAAATCTAAAATTTATAAAAAACGAAAGGGAGCTCACGTCAATAGATATAAACAATTCACCAAAGTTTTAAGCAAATTGGTTAAAGCGTTTTTGAGTTAATGTCCGACATGTTGACGACGGACGGACGGACAGACGGACGGACGGACGGACAGACGGACGTACAACAGTATACCATAATACGTCCCGTAAACGGGCGTATAAAAACCAAATTGACTGAACTCATTTCATTATTCATTGATTGATTGATTGCTGATTTGCTGTAGTTCAGTGGCAAATATTTCATGCACATTTAGGACCAGAACAAATAAATATCTAATATAATAGGAAGATCCTGCAAGGTAGGGATTGACAAGGATAAAGGATAGGAAATGTTGACTGCAGCTCACACGCACTGGAAAATGAGAGCATGTTGAGTAGGGACAGACATTTTGCATTGCAACACCTACCCTCCATAGAGGTGTTACAAGGATTCCCTTACATGAAGAGGGTGTGTCACTCTCTCTACACGAGACACTGATTTAACATTCCCATTACGACCAGAAGTAGCTGTGTATTTAAACTTCCTGCACATCCAAACAGACGCCCCACTTTAGTAATGGTATTACTAGCCTTTTTTTCTACTATGTTTAACGTATCCCAGTTTTTTTCAATTTTCAACACTCTAAATATAACATATTATCGGGTGGTGGGAATGCCTAATCTGCTGGACAAGTAAATGTTAGACTTACAGTCATGTCAACAGAATAAGCTGCTTTATAAGATGGACAATTATGGAAATACAGGTTATATAATCCTTCTTCTTCCTTTCTGTTGATGTTTACTCGAAACTACAAAATATATCAAAGAAACAATGCATACTAGAAACTACAAAATATATCAAAGAAACGATGTTTACTCGAAACCACAAAATATATCAAAGAAACAATGTTTACTCAAAACTACAAAATATTTCAAAGAAACGATGTTTACTCGAAACTACAAAATATATCAAAGAAACAATGTTTACTCGAAACTTCAAAATATATCAAAGAAACGATGTTTACTCGAAACTACAAAATATATCAAAGAAACAATGTTTACTCGAAACTACAAAATATATCAAAGAAACATCAACAATAAATATATACAAGAACATCATATTCATATGGCTATGGAAAATCAAAAATGTCTTAACATTAAATTCACAGTGGTAAAATAAGTATGATATGCCCAACTTGAAGATTTCATTATTGTATTCTTGGGGATTGTGGTTGTTATATAACAAGGTTCTAACAACATGTAGAACTGTTGAATAATCACTTTAAAACATTGAAAGTACAATCTTTAATAGTAAATGTTATTAGAGTGAGGATAAAAAATATCTTTTATAACTGACCAGAAGACAGTTAATCTGTTATCTATATTACTGACCAGTAGAAAACTACTGAAAATTCAGAAATTATTCCATGGATTTTATTGCGATTTGTGAAGTTTGGACAAAAATGTGAGATAAATTTATATTGCGTTTATAGAAAAATTTGCATACATATATATCCATCAGATATCAGAATGCATGTTCTTATCATTGCCATACTCACCCAGTCCCATTATTCGCTTTATTGAAAACCTACCTAGTAAATAATTTCTGAATTTAGTGTTAGATATTTAACCGACTACAAGACAGCTATTATATACATTTAACTAACCAGCAACAGTAATTATCTATTTTACTGACCAGACAACAATAGACCTATTTTACTGACCAAATGACAGTAATTAGCTGTTTAACTGACCAAACAACAGTAATTAGCTGTTTAACTGACAAGATGACAGTAACAAGCATTCTGAGAGTATTGCATGGCAATACATAGTCCCCTACAGGTTAAAAATTCATTGTATTGGAACAAAATGCTAACTTGATCTATAACTTGTCATGATATAAACTATAAAACAAATATCAAATCAATATCTTCAAGCATGACGAAAAAAAGTGTTGAAAACTGATTATTTAAGTGAATTTTCTAAGTCCAAGGACCATAACTCTGAACAAAATCAAATGACCGGAACAAAATTCAAATTTGATCTGTAACATGTCTAGGTAAAACTATATACCATTTATCAAATCAATATTTTCAAGCATGACGAAAAAAAGTGTTAAAAACTGATTATCTGAGTGAATTTTCTAAGTCCAATGGACCATAACTCTGCACAAAATCATCAGACCGGAACAAATTTCGAAGTTGATCTGTAGCTTGCCATGATAAAACTATATACCAATTATCAAATCAATATCTTCAAGCATGACAAAAAAAAAGTGCTGAAAACTGATTATTTGAGTGAATTTTCTTAGTCCAAGGACCATAACTCTGCACAAAATCATCAGACCAGAACAAAATTTGAACTTGATCTGTAACTTGTCATGATAAAACAATATACCAAATATCAAATCAATATCTTCAAGCACGAAGAAAAAAGTGTGGAAAACTGATTTGCCGGACTGATGGACAGAAAGACAGACAGACAGACGGACAAAGTGCAAACCTAAAGTCCCCTTCGACTTTGACGGTAGGGGACTGATTATTTGAGTTCATATTTTTGTTGAATATTTATAGGGACAACTCACAGTGAATTATCAAACAATAACAATATGTATTCTGAGAGTATTGCATGGCAATACATAGTTCTCTACCGGTTAAAAATTCATTGTACTGGAACAAAATGCTAACTTGATCTATAACTTAATTGTCATGGTTAAACTATATAACAAATATCAAGTCAATATCTTCAAGTATGACGAAAAAAAAGTGTGGAAATTAAAACTGATTATTTAAGTGAATTTTCTAAGTCCAAGGACCATAACTCTGCACAAAATCATTAGACCAGAACAAAATTTGAACTTGATCTGTAACTTGTCATGATAAAACAATACACCAAATATCAATTCAATATCTCCAAGCACAAAAAAAATAATGTGGAAAACTGATTTACCGGACTGACGGATGGACAGACAGACAGACAGACGGATGGACGGAGTGCAAACCTAAAAGTCCCCTTCGACTTCGTAGGTAGGAGACTAATTAGCTGTTTAACTGACCAGACGACAGTAATTAGCTATTCAACTGACCAGATGACAGTAATTAGCTGTTTAACTGACCAGACGACAGTAATTAGCTATTTAACTGACCAGACGACAGTAATTAGCTCTTTAACTGACCAGACAGCAGTATATAGCTGATTAACTGACCAGATGACAGTAATTAGCTATTTAACTGACCAGATGACAGTAATTAGCTGTTTAACTGACCAGATGACAGTAATAAGCTGTTTAACTGACCAGATGAGAGTTATTAGCTGTTTAACTGACCAGATGACAGTAATTAGCTGTTTAACTGACCAGATGACAGTAATTAGCTGTTTAACTGACCAGATGACAGTAATTAGCTGTTTAACTGACCAGATGACAGTAATTAGCTGTTTTACTGACCAGACAGCAGTATATAGCTATTTAACTGACCAGATGACAGTAATTAGCTGTTTAACTGACCAGATGACAGTAATTAGCTGTTTAACTGACCAGATGACAGTAATTAGCTGTTTAACTGACCAGATAACAGTAACTAGCTGTTTTACTTACATAAATTGAGTATGCCTCAACTGAATTATTATCAAATTTTGATATAGGAATTTTCTTAAGAACTCTGGCTGCTTTTATTTTGACTGGTTCTGATGGTTTCTTTGTTACACTGGTTTCTGTTTTCACTTTAGCTGTTTTTGATGTTGTTGTTGTCGGTACTGCACTGGTACTTGGTGGTTTAGTCACTTTTTCCTTCACACTAGAAGCAGCAGCTGAATCCTCCCTTTTATGCCTCTTTCCAATGAGGACCTGGTCACTAAATGGTGAATGTGGAACATGTCTTTTACTTGGAGAATGTGGCTCTGTCAAGTTTTCGTAAACAATTTCCAAATTCTTCACATCACTGCCGTTTCTTTGTATTGTAACTCTGAAAAATTAATAATGCCATTTTTTTCAATTCTTGAAATAAAACAATTTATTTGCCATGTTTAAGCAGAAGAGTTAGTAAGAAGTTAATTGTCCCCTTGAACATGAGATAGAAGGTTGAGTCGCCTGAAGCATTGGTTAGAAGTTTTGGACGTCTGAAGCAAGGATCTAGAAATTTTTTCACATAATTTCGGTCATTTCGTGATGACCATAATGACTTGTTAGTTGAGGTCTTTTTTCTCAAATTGTTGAAATTTTTAATACTAGATTCAGTGCATCATGAAACTTACACTACAGCTCAGGTGGATTTTTGACCGTTTCATTGCATTTACTTCATTAACAATGATGAAGTTTCTAACTGTTTTTCTACAAACCGTCAAGAACAATGAATGCAATGCAATACGGGTAGTTTAATGTTAAAATGATTTCAAATACTTCATACAGAAAATTTCTCAGGAATCGCCATCGCTACTTTCAATCTTGAAGACCAAATAAAAACCAGAAGTTTCAAGTTAATACTAAATTACCAATGATTCAAAATTACATTTAGGAGATCTTTTTATGTAATGGCAGGAAATCATCCTATTTTTATTTCATTTCCTGTAAAAGTGTATAAATAAACTGATAATCATTTCACTTGTTTAATTTGGCATAGCAATCAAGTGTTTAATCTGGGGAAGACAATTCCATGCCTGCATATTACATAGTAAACAAAGCAAATGTTTGACTTGTAAAAAATTACTATTCTCTACATAATTTAATAAAAGTTTCAGTTGGTGATTGTCTTTGCTGAAAACATATTAAATAATGACGCAATTTGTCATTGAATTGAATTTCTTTGTAAGATTAGTTCTGAACTTGATCACTACTACTGTCAGGTGTGAAGGACACAGGTTAATCAAAGGGGAAGGTGTCCATGGGACAAAGATGATGCCCTCGCTTGCATATAATGTTTATATAAAGGGACATAACCTAAAAAAAACTAGAGGCTCTAAAGAGCCTGTGTCGCTCACCTTGGTCTATGTGCATATTAAACAAAGGACACAGATGGATTCATGACAAAATTGTGTTTTGGTGATGGTGATGTGTTTGTAGATCTTACTTTACTGAACATTCTTGCTGCTTACAATTATCTCTATCTATAATGAACTTGGCCCAGTAGTTACAGTGGAAAATATTTTGTAAAACTTTACAAAAATTTACAAAATTTATGAAAACTGTAAAAAATTGACTATAAAGGGCAATAACTCCTTAAGGTGTCAATTAACAATTATGGTCATGGGGAACTTATTTGTAGATCTTACTTTGCTGTTCATTATTGCTGTTTACAGTTTATCTCTATCTATAATAATATTCAGGATAATAACCAAAAGCTGCAAAATTTTCTTAAAATTACCAATTCAGGGGCAGCAACCCAACAACATGTTGCCTGATTGGTCTGAAAATTTCAGGGCAGATAGATCTTGACCTAATGAACAATTTTATCCTGTCAGATTTGCTCTAAATGCTTTGGTTTCAGAGATATGAGCCAAAAACTGCATTTTACCCTATGTACTATTTTTTAGCCATGTCGGCCATCTTTGTTCGCGGGCGGGGTCATCGGACACATTTTTTTAACTAGATACCCTAATGATGATTGTGAACAAGTTTCTTTAAATTTGTCTTAGTAGTTTCAGAGGAGAAGATTTTTGTAAAGATTACAAAAATTATGAAAAATGGTTAAAATTTGACTATAAAGGGCAATAACTCCTGAAGGGGTCAACTGACCGTTTTGGTCACGTTGACTTATTTGTAGATCTTACTTTGCTGAACATTATTGCTGTTAACAGTTCATCTCTATCTATAATAATATTCAAGATAATAAACAATAAAATGCTCCGCTGGGTGCAGCTTGATACGACCGCAGAGGTCGAACCCTGAACAGTTGGGGCAAATATTGACACAACATTCAAGCTTGATACAGCTCTGAATTTGGATTGTGATTAAATATTTGACACAGCATAGGTTTCTGACACAGAATGAATGTGGTCTAAGAACTTAAAAATTTTTAATTTATCTATTATGGTCCAATCTCCAAAGTCTAAATACATGGTTAGATTCAGCATATCAAAGAATCAAAGAATTCAATTTTTGATGAAATCAAACAAAGTTTAATTTTGGACCCTTTTGACCTCAATGTGGACCAATTTGATAACGGGGCCCAAAAATCAAAATACATGGTTAGATTCAGCATATCAAAGAACCCCATATATTCAATTTTTGTTGAAATCAAACAAAGTTTTATTTTGGACCCCAACTTGGACCAACTTGAAAACTGGGCCCGTAATCAATAAAAAACGAAAGGGAGCTCACGTCAATAGATATGAACAATTCACCAAAGTTTCATGCATATTGGTAAAAGTGTTTTTGAGTTAATGTCCGACATGTTGACGACGGACGGACAGACAGACGGACGGACAGACGGACGGTCAACGGTGTACCATAATACGTCCCGTAAACGGGCGTATAAAAATCTAAACACATGTTTAGATTCAGCATATCAAAGAACCCCAAGAATTCAATTTTTGTTAAAATCAAACTAAGTTTAATTTTGGACCCTTTGGACCTTAATGAAGACCAATTTGAAAACTGGACCCAAAATTAAAAATCTAAATACACGGTCAGATTTTGCTTAACAAATAAATAAATGTGGTCAAAGATTTTACAAATCTAATGCGCCATACTGTGCAATTAAAGATAACTTCTTGAAATTTTTCAATATTTGAAATTTGAAAAAAAAATAATATTTGAAGAATAATTCTTTTTAATTTCTGAAATCTGAAATGAGAAAAAATTGACCCCCCACAATTTCTTTTTAACCCCCAAAAACTTCTTTCCCTCAAGATATGGTCATAATCTTAATTCAAATTTCCAATGGAATTTGAAACCATAATTACCAATTTAAATTTACCATAGTGCTAACTTAATCTATTTTATAATAGAATTTAAAATATGGTGTCAAATCATTCATATGTGGATTTTTTTGTAAAAAAAAAAAGATGCAACATTTGCAGATATTTTTACTGGTCTTCCTTTATAAATTCGCATTTCTTTAAACATAATTTAAAAGCAGTGTAAGGGAAGTAATTAAAACGGTGTATGTAGATTACCTCCCTTACACTGTTTTAAATTGTCTTAATTGTTCATTAACCATTACTTTATACATAATTTAAAAGCAGTGTAAGGGAGGTAATTCAAATGATGTATTTGATTTATCTCCCTTACACTGCTTTAAATTATGTTTTGTACTAAAGTATTTGTCCATATAAAAATGCTTGTTTTTTGCCCCTTTTTTGGCCCCTAATTCCTAAAATTTTGAGGCAATAATCCCCAAAATCAATCCAAGCATTCCCTTTGTGATATGGAACCTTGTGGTACAATGTCAGAGAGATCCATACACTAACACACAAGTTATGTCTGGAAGTTACAAAAATGCTTATTTTTGGCCCCTTTTTGGCCCCTAATTCCTTAACTGTTGGTACCATAACCCCCAAATCAATCCCAACCTTCCTTTTGTGGTATTGAACCTTATGGTAAAATTTCATAGAGATCCATTCACTTAAACTAAAGTTAGAGTGCCAAAACCAATGTGTCTTCGGACAATGACGATGCCGGACGACGACAACGACAACGACGACGACGAAGACACCAACGTCATACCAATATACGATCGCAAAATTTTTTGAGGTCGTATAAAAACGACAAAATTTCCTTAAAATGACCAATTCAGGGGCAGCAACCCAACAACGGGTTGTCAGATTCATCTGAAAATTTCAGGGCAAATAGATCTTGACCTGATAAACAATTTTACCCCATGTTAGATTTGCTCTAAATGCTTTGGTTTCAGAGATATAAGCCAAAACCTACATTTTACCCCTATGTTCTATTTTTAGCCATGGGGCCATCTTGGTTGGTTGGCCGGGTCACTGGACACATTTTTTAAACTAGATACTCCAATGATTATTGTGGCCAAGTTTGGTCAAATTTGGCCCAGTAGTTTCAGAGGGGAAGATTTTTGTAAAAGTTTACGGACAACGGACGACGGACGCCAAGTGATGAGAAAAGCTCACTTGGCCCTTTGTAAAAGTGATGCCACCAAAATTCAAACTAGATCTGCGTTTTGTGGTAATAAGCATTGAGTATTAGATTCATTACAAATAGTTGAGGCAACTTCAGTTGGAGAAGGGAAATGAAAAATTCAGTAATTTTTACATTTGTAAGGGGGATAACTCTTGAAAGGTAAAAGTGACGCCACTCAAATTCACAAATGATCTGTGTTTTCTGGTAATAAGCATTGTGTATAAGTTGCATAACATTTGTTTGAGGCAAATTAGAGAATTTAGAGGATGGAAACCAATTTCATGACGTACAGACAGACAAGGTGAAAACTTAATACCCCCTCTGTTACAGCAGGGACATAAAAATGATTAGTGATCATAAGACAATTTCTCCCTCAGGCATTTGTATGGTAATTAGGAGGGCCCTCCAGGCATGATTGAAACTGAAGTAGTTCTTTCCCATTTTAAAGACTTCTGTTTGATCTAGCCAATGATTGGGCCATCATATTCCCTGACTTCATGTTTAGCACACAAACATTAGAATATTAATTGTTCAATAAGTGGGGCAATACAGCATGTTCTTAGTTTACAACAAAAACAATAATATGTATCATTATTTTACCAATTAACTTATCTGAAATAAAACTTACACCATTTGATCAAAATCTATTTTAAAGAAGATAATAGACAAACTATTATTCTTGTTGTTTTCTTTGCTGAGTATACCAGCTGGATTTTTCAACAAGCAATTCTTCCCTTGTGCATTTTCCTAAAATTCACAAAGTCAATATATATTCATTCATTAAAAAACACTTTTAATTTTAACAATAATATGTGTTCATAGAATGCCATGCTCTGCTTGCACTATCACCTTTCCTTGTTCAGTTAATCTGATACTCAATTGTGGTCTACGTGTTAATTTTAGCATTTAGTGTTAAAAGTTCACATCATAAAGCACGGATCTGTACTAAGTTTTATTTCAAGTTGATGTGACTATACTATGTATATTTTTCCTTATGCAGTGACCTTAACTACAAGACCTCTCGACAGAACTTTGGCCACCGAACAACGCAAGTTCAAGGGGAAAACTGTGATGAAAGAATGTAAACAAACGTGCACTGGAAGGTAAATAGTAATAACTGATTCATACAGAACAAATTTAATACAACAAATCATTTAACAACTGTTAAGGAAAAGTTTAAATAAACATGGGAATGCACGGAGAAAAAAATCGTAAGGAGTTCTGTGGAACCATGTGTCTTGCCTACGATTGCTGTTGTCAGTTTAAAAGGACTTAACAAGTAAGTAAAAAAAACTTAAAAAGTGAGTCCATTTATCATGTTTATTAATAAAATACAAAATTTAAAAAAAAAATCCAAATTTTCTTTAGATGCTATTTCTTGGTCTTGGAGATTAGCTTCTGTCCAAGTTTCATAACAATCCTTGAAGGTTTTCAACCGTATCATGTCAAAAACATTTAATACCAGACTGTATGTAAATGTAAACTGTAAAAAACTAATTAGTCCATCTATCAGAAAAATACTGAAAATGAAAATATATTTTCAAAACTTAGCATCAGACATTATCTCTTAATCATAAAAAAAGCTACTGCTAAAGTTTCATTAAAACCTATGAAGGTTTGAAAAAGTATTTGATGTGTAACAAACTTTAACCCCAGACTGTATCTACTTGTTGACGGTGAAATAAACTAAGTTCATTTATCATCAAAAAATGGAAAAATGAAAATAAATATTTTCAAAATTTTGCTCTGGGTACTGTCATGACTGTATTTTGGACAATATCAAGCTTCTGTCCAAATTTCATAAAATTCCATGAAGGGTTGACAAAGTAATTGATGACAGAAAAATTTAACCTCAGACTGAATCTGAATGATAACTGAAAAAAAAAAATAAGTCCATTTATCAGTAAAATATGGAAAAATAAAAATAAATATTTTCAAAATTTTGCTCTGAATACTGTATTTTGGTCATAAACAAGCTTCTGTCCAAATTTCATAAAATTCCATGAAGGTATGAAAAAGTTATTGATGTCTAAAAAACTTTAACCACAAGACTGAACCTAAATGTTGATGCCACCGAAGCCAACATCATCGCTATGTCTCGCATTTATATAAAATATAAAAAATATAAATCATGGCTCTACCCACACACTTATTTGTCACAGGGTCCACGTGCTCTGGGTGAATCATTTATCAATGTCACGATCCAGTACACTTCAGCAACAAACTCAAAAGATAATTAGCTTGCGATGAACTATTATTATAGATTCTTAATAAATATAAAAATAGTGCTTACATGACTTACTGGTGACTTTGAGAGCACTCTTCCTTAGCATATTGTGTATGTTTTTTTTGTGCATGTACTTATTTTGTGTCATAGATGGATACCCCATATCCTTTGTTTTTCTATCAGTTTAGAATATATGCATGTTTATATTGGTTCAATAATTTCGAAAACGTTAAAATTACAAGAAAATCATTTCATATGACTTTAAGGTTAAAGGTTATTCCAGATTAGGTGTTATGGAGATGTTAACACAATAGGCACATTAAACTTACCAGGTAAGCAGAAATACCACTACTTCCACTCTTGTCCAGTGTAAAACCATACTGAAATAAAACAGTTTTTTTATGAATGGTTTCAAACTTTAATAAAAGAACAGAGTTCCAATGTCCCCCGCGGGACACATATTCCATCTATCCAAGGTACAAGGGCAATAACTAAAATTGAAAACTTTAAACTTTTAATAAATATCTTAGAGAAATGATGGCTTCAGTGCAAATGTGATTTCAGTTATAATGAATATTTCCAAGGGGCATAACTCGTTAAATGTATTTGATCAGCATTTATTTTCAAAATTGTCAAAGACATTGGTACTGAACAGTGATAACTAGCACATCTATGGTATTTTACAATGTTGACAAGTACATGTATGGTAATTACCAGCATGTCTTTTTTATTCATAGCAACACCTTCTGGCACTTTGTAACGAAAGAAACTAATGCTGACTTCTAAAAATCCTTTCTTCAAAAAACCAAATGTACTCATCTGTATAATCTTCCTTTCATCATCCTGAAAAACATAACAAAATAAGTAAAGGGACATAACTTATTATCCTGAAAAATAGAACAAAATCAGTAAAGGAACATAACTTATCATTCTGGAAATCATATAACAAAATAAGTAAAGGGACATAACTTATTATCCTGAAAAACAGAACAAAATAAGTAAAGAGACATAACTTATTTTATATGAATTTGGATAAATATACTTACCATGATATTTACTATTATAAATATACAATATTCCGCATTTTAGTATGTTCTCAATTGCAAAAAACATTGAGGAGACCAAGATTTAAAAACATTCGGTGATGTATGAAATCTACTCACCTCGCATCAATGTAAGTTTAATTTTTTAACATTCAATTGAACGGGTGTTCTCATCAAAGTCTAAAATTATTTAGTTAGTTACTTATAAGATTGTTGTATCCATCGTTATTCATTAACATGGATGAGACGGAAAAACAGAATGACTCGATACTTATGTATGAAGAGTCGGCACCGGTTCCACCATGCACGGTATCGTTGAAAGAAAAGTATTCCTCTTCACACCCCAGCAAGGTCAGTGCTAGGACAAATACGGAACTAGTCAGTAGGTAAAAAGGCTACTAAGGCTAAACAGCTAACATGCAGACTGAATATGATAAAAAAAACTCCATAATCTTGAGAATTTTAATCATAAATTTGACAAACTTTTTGAGTTGTTTGCCTCTAGAAATCACAATAGGGATTTTTTGCCCAGATCTGAATGCAATATAATGGGTAACCTCCCATCAGGGGAGTGTAGGCCAGTCATATCATTAGAACCAGACTTGGACCAAGATTTGGGGTCGCCAAGGGTTTCTAGGAACATAGATATTGACACAACACTGCACAAGGTCAGAAATATCTTTACATGTTCAACAATGTGAGAGAAATGATCTGGATATAAGGTCAGATGAAGAAAGTGTGTCTGGAGGTTAAGTCCAGTTAAAGAGAACACTGAAGAATTTGATACTGTCAATAATCGTATTTTTAAAATGTGAATGGTTTATAAAACATGTCAATGTACAAAATTCAAATGTACATGGTGGTATTTCTCTTTCTAATGAACATGATAAGTCTGATCAAGGGCAGACGAACAATAATGTAAACTTTCTATCCAAAATATTTAAGGAGGATATTGCTAAAGAGAGATGAAATATTGGTTTGGTTTTAGACCAAGCACAGGTTGACATTTTAGAAAATTCTTGGCGTTCAAAAAACCCAGACAGAATTTCTGCATTTAAAGAGGACTATAAGAATTGCTTTCCAATTCATGATAGTTCAGTCGAGTTTTTACAAGTTCCGTCATTGGATGATTGACTGGAACCTATGTTAAGACAGACACATGGTCAGAATGCTGTCAAGTCCTGGGATACTCATAGGCAACTTTTTACACAGCCTCTCAAACAGATTGAGAAATTAGCATTCCAAGGTCAATTAAGTGCAAGAATGAATGTTATTTCTGTTTTATATATGCAACAGGTACTAGGTTCCTTATTGCAAACTCTAGAAGGTGAGGATTATAACAAAGACAGTGTTTGTCGGACAATAAAGGATGTTTTTGCTATGTTGACAAAAACTCTTGATCAATCAGGGCGCATAGGTACTTTCTGTCATTTGATATGTCGTAAAGCGACAGCACAAGATTCTGGATTGAATGATTTAAAAGATATGCGCAGTAAGCACCAATATCTTCCACTCACACATGATGGGTTATTTGGTAAAGGACTGGAAACGTCTTTGGAAAGGTGTAAAGAACAGAAAGACCAGCTTTCTGATCTTTTGCCAGAGTTCACTAAGAAAAGGAAGTTTGAGAAAGATTCTCTTGAAAAGGGTAACACTAAGGTTGCCAGGTATTCCAACGTGTCTAATGAACATAAGACCGTTAAGAGCAAATGTAAATGCTGCTAGTGCTGTTTCCAACTATAGGAAACCAGCACCACATTTTCAAAAAGATAATACAGCACCAGTCTCAAGACAGGTTGGACAGGATGCAAACAAGACCGGCTTTAAGTCTGGCAAGAGTACTACACAGTCATCCTGGGGTTCTTTTCGGATCCCCAAGAGGAAGGATAGCTGATTCAGAAGTTAGTTTAATGATGTGTCCAGATATACCAGTAGGGGGTCGATTAAAAATTTTTCTTCAAAATTGGGAGAAAATAAGATCAGATCAGTAGGTTCTCTCAATTGTGAGAGAAGGTTACAAACTGGAATTTATACAAAAACCTCTTTGGACGGGGATAAAAAAGACAATTGTACAAACAGACAATTTGGGTATTTTTATGCAAGAAATAGATACTTTGCTAGAAAAAGATGTAATAGAAAAAGTTCAGTATCCGTTTTGTCTAAACGGTTTTAACAGCACATTATTTCTAGTCCCCAAGAAAATGGGAAGTTAAGAATGGTGACAAATTTGAAACCCCTAAATGGATATCTAAAGAAAATTCATTTAAAAATGGATACTATGCAAAAGGTAATTAACTTGGTGAAACTGAATGATTGCATGGGCCATATATCTCCATCTGTCAGATGCGTATCTCCATGTCCCAATATTTCAATCACACAGACAGTACATGAGGTTCTGTGTTCAAAACCAATGTTTTCAATGGAAAACAATGTGCTTTGGGCCAACATGTGCTCCGCGAATTTTCACAAAAATTGTATCAGTAGTTGCAGCATATCTCAGAGCTCAAAATTTAAGAATGGTGGTATATTTGGACAATTGGATGATAGTCAATCAAGACCAAAATCAATTGATACTAGATCGAAAGAAGTGTCTCAATCTGATAGTTTCATTAGGCTTCATAGTAAACAAGGAGAAATCCAATTTAATTCCCAGTCAGTGAGTGCCTTATCTGGGGGGAGTTTTTCACTTAGAAAAAGGGCTAATTTTTCCTACTTTAGAGAGAATAGAAAAATTACAGATGTTAATTCAGAACATGCAGACTGTGAAAACAGTAGCTCTAGATTTTCTACGTATTCTGGGTGTAATGGCATCTTGAAACAGTAAAATGTTAAGTTTTAAAAACAGAACGTAAAGTCAAAATAAAACAATGATAGGATAACATATACTTGTGCAGAAATTGAAGATTTTTGGTGTTCACTACGAATATAGTACAAATATTAGATAGTTTTATGTTAAATTGAAAGACAATGATGCGTAGAACATTACAGAATTATGTGAATTGAAACTGCAGTTCTATGGAAAAGAATGAGGGACAAATCCCAAGGATTTTTTTTTCTTCATTTGCAACTTGATGAATATTAATGAAATTCAACTCAAGAGGCAAAATGATATACAAAGAAAGTTTTCCATAAATTCATAGCAAAAGAATTACCCATCGCCATATATATTACAATTGAATACAGTTGTGCCTTATATTTTACATGTTTTGTTTGGATTTTTTTTAATGATTAAAAACCAGACTTTTTTTTATGAACAATATTTAAGAAAATATTTATCTGTTTTGTGTTAATATATACAACATAATCAGTGTTCCAGCTAGGATTTGAAAATAGAGGGGCGCATTTTTAAAAAAGGGCACTTAAGCGCGATCTCACTGAAAAAAATCAAATACTAAATATTACCACATAATGACATATTTTTAGCAAGCATGTAGCTAAGTTAAATACTCTATACTATTATATACAAGTTTAAAAATCATTTATTTAGAACATATAACATGTATAAGTTAAAATCAAACTGAGAGCACTAATAGTCATTACTATATTCATTTCTCTTTCAGAACTACAGATTTTTTCAAAGAAGAGTTCAAATGCAAATAAATATTAAACAACATTGACAAGTCTTCTGTTTTTCTTTTTGAAGAAGGTTGTCACACATTGGTCAAGAATTTTTTCGAATTTAGTTTCATCACAGTTTAATTTTACAGTTAATATTTTTGTTAATGTCTGTGTTTTCAAGTTTGCCCTGTGACTTGTCTTTATCAATTTGACCTTAGAGAATATTCTCTCCACCTCTGCTGTACTGAGTGGTTGTATTATTGCAACACTGAATAGTTTTGCAACAAGAGGGTACATAGATAATAGGTTTTTATCCTTATGACAAGGTGAATGAAATAGCTCTAGCAGACTAGGTAAGGAACGATCTGTAAGTTCTGCTGATGACACAAGAGCTATAAAGTCCTGCCATTGAATAAGGAGAGTTTCAGGGTCCATGTCAAATGTATTTGCCAGAGCTTCTATCTCTGTATAACCATACATTGTTTCAATGTTGTCTGTTCCTGTAAGGTCTGAAATGGCCAACTGATTGATTGTGTCAGCATCCTTAAATCTAACTGTTATATTTTCAATTAATCCATTGAGAAAGCACTCTCTGACTTTAGTGTCAAAATCTACTGGGGGTGGGTCAGTAATGTTACATGTGCTTCTTAAATGTTCCTCTTTTTGAAGCCATGGGCCATTCTGGGTCTTTCTTGTTGTCAACAAATTGACAGTTTTCTCCACACTTGTTTTAATGTTGCCAAGATGAACATCCCTCTTCTGAAAAACAAGTGAGAGGCTACAAATGTGTGGCAGCACATCTGCAAGTAGCAAAACAGCTTTCAGCATGGCAGGATCTTTAAGATTTTTAAACAAGCCATTTCCCACTGGATCAGTTCGAATTTCTGCAGACTCTAAATGAACAACAAGAGACCTGTATGATCGTGCAATTGAGGATATTGCTTGGTCATGACTTAGCCAGCGATTATGTTTTGCTAGTTTAATAGCTAAAGGTGCCTGATCAAAAGCTTTCTGTATTTCTTTAAGTCTATCAGTGTTGCAGTAGCTATATTTATAATACTTATATTAAGCTTCAAGCACCTGGTCAAGCTTCTTCATGAGTGGGACTTGCTTAAAACTGTCTCTGCAGGCAAGGGCTAAACGGTGATCTCTGCAATGATGTGTCAAAAGGTGAGGGTTAAGGTCCTTCAGTTGTTTGGAAACACCATTAATGCGGCCTGTAAATTAAAAACGGCTGCACCA